ATTTTAGCTTGTCACTTGGCTTAACCACAATGCATACTACCCTCCTTTTAATATAATATAGATTTGGTATGACAATTTAGTACCGCTACCATATAATTAATAAGTGTGGCCAAAAATATTATGATTTGGCAACGATTGAAAAGTGTAGTCTTTAAACTTTTTAAAAACGTTTTGTAAGAGTTGCTTTAAAACCCGTGGCCAAAGACTCCAACCAAAGGCCACACTTAGAAAGTGGTTTCATAAATATTATTGGCTACGCTTTTTAAGCGTAACCTAAAATAAGTGTGGTTGTAGGCCTAAAATGTTGTAGTGTAAATAATTACATGACTGAGACTGAAACCAAATTTTAAGACAAAATATTAAAATATTAGAAATTAGATGAATGTAGGATACTTACAACATTTAAATATAGTAGAACGGTAGCTTGAGAAATCTCTCAAGTCATCATTAGGAAAACGCTAAACTTTTGCTATGAGTTTCATAAATACTTCACAGCTATTTTGAAATACATATTCCAACTCGTAGAAATAATTAAAATTATTAAATTATAATTTAATAAATAGATGAAAGGGAAGGATTTGAGAGCCCTTTAATCAGAAAAACCACATAAACAAAACGATCTTCCTTTAAACTACTACTAATTTGCAAGTGGCAAGAATCTCTAGAAAATATTATCCAGAAATGGGTTTCAAGAACCAATTCTCAATTCTCAAAAGTTGCCTCAAATATGTTAAATTCAGTTGTGTCAAATGCTAATAAGTAAGTAATATTTAAATCTATTACTATCATAACGGGAGTGATTAAGGGGATTTGAAAGGATGGCAAAGAGGACAAAACAACTCGACGTCGCCGTGACGAGTAAGTTGTTTGGTAGAAATATTTAATAGTGTAGGCTTTAGGTTGTAGCATATGTACCTTAGTGTCAAAGTGAAAATAATAAGCCTACTTTGAGTGAGTTAGCGAATTAGTTGCCGCTTTTTGCCATTAATTTTTGCGTGAAACTAAGAAAGCCATCGGTGTTCCAAAACTCTGACTAATGTTGTCAAGTTGTAATTATAAGTGGGTGGGAAGAGGTGAAGGTGTTCACTTTTACTCCATTTACTGTACGTTTGCACGTGTCAACTCTCCGTATTAGCTAAAACTATTTTCTTGAGACTAGCAAATCCTTTTCAATTGAAAGTTGCGAAAATATTCCCATCAAACCATGCGAAATAAAAAATATGAAAATATCTTTCCGCCAAACCAATCAGAAATAAATAGGGCAAAGATCACTTTTATATCCAATAATCGCAAAAGTGTATAAAATTTATAATTTTTTTTGGATATAACATATATAAATGTATATATATACAAAAATTATACATTATTTTTTACTATTATTTTGAGAGCGACTATACTATATCATTTTTCCAAATAAATAGGAATATCTCTCTACTTCTAGAATTTTTCTACATGGATAGAAACTAGTATTCATGAAAAGACCAAATCCTTATTTATACTCTCCCAATTAGTTTCTCCTTATTTTGTCTAAGTCGCAGTGCACAAAGTACCAAATAATGTACTAGCAGGAGGTAGTAGCTATCTAGTGAAATAATCATACTACCGGCAATTCCTCACGAAGTGCTTTCTTTTTCTTGGTGGAGAAGGGAGAATGGCAATATTCCAGATTTGAACAAATTAGAGTCATATTGTTGGATAGTGCAAATCACATTATTTAAAAAGATAAACCTTGAGAGTGATCACTTTTATTTCTCAAATATAGGTCTAAGACCTTCTAACGTATGGGTCTAATTTTATTTTAAATCTAACAAAACTCCTGTTAACGAGTGAACAGAAGCTCATAACCAGAATATCGACCTACTCTGAAATTTCATTGATTTGTATATACACTTCCATTTGCAGCACACATTCTTTATGTGGGGCTTCAAAGCCTAGGAACCAAATACTTTTAAGCAAACGTGGGCTAAAAAGCTAAGTTGCATGATCTTCATTAGATGGCGCTTTGCCAAATGACAAATTGACAATTCCCATAGACATATTTCAACAATCACATAAAAGGAAAGAAAGGATTGATAGTTAAAAAACAATAATTTTGACAACAAGAACAAGAAGGATAAATGGAGAAGGGAAAAAGAAAAGAAAGGAACTGATAACTAGAAGTAGTTCAACTAACAATTCCCCTCTGCTAATCTACCGTCTTTTCCTGCCACAGAAGTCAATGATCATCTACTATGCTTTAGTCACATGTGCTTTTATATTCTAATAACTACTTACACTAAGCTAACCAAATGCAATCAGTACAAAGATATTCCAGTTTTCAATTGTTTGGGGGGAGGGGTGTAAACTCTCTAGTCACCTGTGGTCCTTTTTTCTTTTCTTTTCTTTTTTCCTTTTTTCAACATGGTATTAATAGTGGTGATGTTTTGTTTGACCGCAGAAAAGCAACGAAAGATTCAAAAGGTTTATGCGAAAGTTTTTCTCTCATTTGTGTGTGCTGATGATTGAGGCTGTGATATATGGGGAAAAAATTCAATTTTTTAGTAATTTAGTAATAAAAGGTGAAGAGAGTGCTTTTGATCAGCCATTCACAACATGCCGAAGTGACATGCTTAAACTACTTTAGAACAAAAACTAAGTGGAGAATGATTTTGGCGTAATTATTCTTTCATAAATTTGCTTTTCACAAAAAAGAGTCATCTTTGTCAAATAACTTCTAGAAAATCTAATAAAGTAGATGCATCAGACTTGACCCCAAATTATCCAATTGATAGAACCAATACTATTTCTTAAAATCACATCAGCAGACAATGTTGACTGACACTGGGCTCTTCTTCTTCGTCCTTTTACTCTTTGTTGGAGTTTGGCAGTTTGAGGCTGTGGGATGTTTGGACCAAATTGAAGAAAAGTTCTTGTTTGCATTTGAACTATAATACTACACAGTTTTAATTAGTTTAAGGAGAATTTGAAACTTGTTAGCAGCTAGAGTTCTTTTTGAAAAAAAAAAAGGAAAAACTAGAACTCAGATTCATCGGTTATTCCAGGATTAAGTAGTAACTCAGTGACACGATATACAGTTCTATCCTATGGCTGTAAGGTTCGAGTGTCACAAACTTTTTCTCTCTATTTTCCCTACTTCCAACAAAATCCGACTTTTAACATATTTGGTTGGTCGGTTAATAATAATTATAGCACTAGTCAAATATACAAAAACTATAGATGCATTATGTATAAAATATGAATAATAACATGTATGTAATACATTAATAATTAAAAAGTATATTTAATGGCTATTATTTTGCTGGGAAACTATACTATGTAAAATTTCGAACAACAAATGGCTAAAATAAAGTTGGGAAATTTTCGATCCTATACCATATAGGAAACTATATTACCAAATATGTTCAAAATCGGCATATTACCCTTCATGTTAATAGTATTTCTACATAATATATACAATGCATTAAATAAGAAATTATTATAGTTGTAGGATTCCTTATTTAGGTGAGCTAAAAAGGGGGAATTAAATATTTTCCAGATCTTCCAACGCAAATCACGCACAGTAATCATTATCGTCTACTTCGTTACAAACTTCCAGTACTCTGTTTTTTGCGCAAAACTCTGTTTCAACATTTTCTCTGATTTCACAAATAAAAATCGACAAAATCCTCTACAATTCTTCTGCAACAAAAGCAATTATGGCAAAGATACCAATTATGCTACAATCGAATGGGAATTGGGATAGCTATGGGAGATTTAGAGAATTCGAGGTCGATGGCATTGTAGTCGATGACGATGCGACTTATAGTCTATTGATTTTTACAATAGCACAACAATTAAGGATTGATACATCCGAAAAAATTATAGAAATCAAATACATTGTCAACGAGCATTGTCCTCCAATGGAAATTAGGAACGCTATGGGTGTTCGTGTATACATGGAGACGAAAAAGGAAAACAAAAACTTAGGATCATATTCACTATGTATAACTGTTCGCGATTTCAATATGGAATTGAGTATCACCAATAAGAACACAGCTGCAGGTGTGCGATGTTATTTTTTCTATGAAATTCTGGTAAATTGTAAATGAACTACAATTTATCTACATTGTATCTACAAATAAACTACTTATATATATCAGTATGGATTTCTGTAATATCTACAAAAGTTCTACATTTATTCTACATTTGAAAAATTAATATGAAATACTGAATTTCAACCTTTCTACAAATTTTCTACAAACTGGTGATGACAATATTTATATTTATTTTCATGCAGGTTCATCTGGAATACTAACGTTACTTGATATGCCAACATCTCCCGTTATAGAGGAATATGAAAGTATAATAATAACAGATAGTACACCAAGTTCTATTGAAGTAGGACAAGTATACCAAGACAAGGAAACAATTGCAACTGCAATGAAACATTATTCTGTCATGCACCAGTTCCAATTCAGGGTTAAAAGATCTAGTGCTAGAAGGTATGAACATATGAAATAGTCAAATATTATTATTTTTTTAATTTTGTAGTTTATTTATAATTTTTTACTTCTTCAGTTTTCCTTGTGATAATGTTTAGCAAAATTATAGTTAAAATGTAGTTATATTGTAGTTGTTATTGTATAATGTGATTGTTTAAGCTAAAATAAATTTTAAATTTTATCCCATTATTTAAAATGTATTTATTTTGTAGCTACTGGCTGATATGTGTTGGTGAAAACTGTACATGGCACTTCAAGGCAACTAGCATAAATGATTTTGCAATGTTCAAGGTCAGAAATTTGGACAAACAGCACACATGCTCTTTAATGGACAATACATTCATACAACGCAAACCTACTGCCATGGTAGTTGGTAGTATAGTTATTCCAAAATATTTTGATCCTAAGATAATTTACACCCCAAAAGACATTCAATTTGACATGTTGTCTGAACACGACATGAATCTAACCTACATGCAAGCCTGGAGAGCAAAGGAAAAGACTTTACAGTTTTTGAGAAGTCATCCGGCTGACTCCTACAACAAATTGCCTAGTTATTTGTATATTCTAGAGAAGACCTATCCGGGGTTTGTAGTTAAATTGAAGAAGGCAGACGATGACTGTTTCTTGTATGTATTTGTTGCGATTTATACGTCAATCAGTGGTTGGGAATATTGTAGGCCAGTTGTAGTAGTTGATGGGACCTTTTTAAAGTCAGCGTACAGGGGAATAATACTAACAGCTAGTACAATGGATACAACAGGTACTGAAGTTTTATTAGTAGAAATATTGTAGCTTGTATTCTTTTTTAGTACTTGCAGATTAATTGTAGATATATTGTAGAATAATTGTAGTTTGTATATATATGTCTTCTTCTGCATTTTTACTGTAGCCAATTAATTTCTTATTGCCACATAATGTAGGTACCATATTACCATTGGCATATGCTGTTGTTGATTCAGAGAATGACGCATCATGGAAGTGGTTTTTTGAGCAATTCAAGCTCGTGTATGGTGAAAGAGCAAACATGTGTGTTATTTCGGATCGGAATGATAGTATCTTGAAGGCAACATCTATTGTTTATCCCGGTATGCCACATTATTCATGCATGTGGCATATTTGGACAAATATACGAGTAAAGTTCAAGAAGGGACATCTTAAGCTAAGTGAATTATACTTTGCCATGGCGCGGTCATACACACTTGATGAATTTAATGAAAGGATGTCAAAGATTGAGGATATTGACCCCCGTGTTAAAGCATACTTATACGATATTGGATATCATAGATGGTCTCGAGTACTTGCAATAGTGAACAGAACTTGGACTATGACATCAAACAAAGCAGAGTCGTTGAATGTTATAACAAAATATGCAAGAGAGTTGCCGATAGTAGAATTATTAGAGTATATGAGGACCCTTCTTGAACGTTGGACGAAAGAAAAATTATTGAAAGCAAAGGGTACATTCACATACCTTGGATATAAATTCAACAAAGAGTTGTATGACAACAAAACATTGTCGCACAAGCTTAGAGTAAGATCTGATTATTTATTGAATCAAATTTATAAACAACACAATGTAATTTTTTTATTGATATTTTGTAGATGTTTTGTAGATATTTTGTATATAACTTGATTTTAACCATATATGAATTGTTTTTTTGTTTGTAATGTACTCGTAGGTGAGGGCTTCAACAGACTACATACATACAGTAATAGATGGTGTGAGGCGCTATATTATTTGTCTTGAAAACAAGAAATGTAGTTGTGGGCAATTCCAGCTTGATGAACTACCTTGTCCACATGCTTTGGCTACTTTAAGATAAAGGGATGAGTCCTTTGAAGAATATTGTTCTCCTTATTATACAAGGGCGAACCTCTTGCGTACGTATGAAATACCAGTAAATCCGCTGCCTGATGAAAGCAAATGGAATGTGCCACAACATATAACTGAAGAAGTAGTAAATCCACCTAAAGGAGGGAAAAGGCAGCCATGAAGACCTCAGAAAGAAAGATACAAAACATATGATGAAATAAATTCAAAGAAGTACAAGGTTTCATGCGGCAACTGCGGAGGAGAAGGGCATAACAAAAGATCTTGCAAGAATGCATCCAAAATGAAATAAAATTCTATGTAGTTAACAGAATATTTGATGAAAATTTGTTAGTTAGTTCTGGATAACAGACGTTGATGTGTAATAGTTGGTTTTATAAAGATCATAATGTAGTTAGTTAGGATGTTTCTATAATGAGATAATACTTTCATATATTGATTTGTTTATGAATGTTTTCTATGTATATAATCTATAACTTTTTTATTATATATGCAATCCTTTACATAGTTGCTAATGTGTTTTTGCAGTTTATCTACAATAAAACTACTAAAAAAATATATTATCGGGAGTTTACAAAGTATATACATTATAAATCTGTAGGAAAGTAGTTAAAAACCAAGCCATATTGTAGATGAGTATTGTTTACATTCAACAAAATAAATATAAAAGAAACAAAACACACTGTTATAATAATCTACAAAATATCTACAAATACAACTACAAAAAAACTGCAAAATATCTGTAGCTGACGTAATATATAGATTAAAATTCTGGTAGAAAGAAGCTTTATGATGGAAATAATGTAGATCAGAATAACTGTATAAAATTTTAGTTGGAAAGGATTTAAATGCTAAAAATAATGAAGATCAAGTACTGTAAAGATTCAACAAGTGAACGTAAACCCAACAGAATGTTTCCATTTGAACTACAATACTGGATAAGGAAAAAAAATAAAGGCTACTATAATTGTAGCACAAGTATGCTACAATTAAAACATACTAAAATGTTCAAAAAATTGTCTATCATCTTTCTTATAAACTAGCATCAACTACACAATTGTACTACATGTTCCATTCAAAAGATTACAACTACTTCTTCTTCCTCTGGACTTGTGTTTTCTCATTCAAAGCTTGTGCACCTTTCCTCCTTACCAATTTGCTCGTCACCTCACTATCACTAATTGCCCCAAGCTCCTGCTTCTTTCTAGCATAGTCCCAAAGTAGCTCCATAGCGTCTACGGTATTGGTCAATATCAGAAAGGTCTTCTGGGGGAATTGATAATTCTCCAATACTAACATACTCTGCAAAGGCAGCAACAAATATACCACAATCTCTGCAAAAAGATAACAACATGTCAATATTTACCAAACCATCAAAAAAAATGGTTAAATGTATAGAAAGAAAGAAGAATTTTGTTAAACAGCTTCTTGAACAGTAAATAACCAAAACATGTCTTCTTGAACAGCTTCAAACCATTTTGAGATAAAAGCGCTTTAATTTGACTAGGAATGCTAGGGTCACATAATGTCTGGAATCTAAGCACCCCATAATCAACATTATGGTATGCAAAAAAAAGTCCATTCTGCAAAATTCAACAAATGTAATCTAACATTAATATAGTAATTAAAAAGCACTGATACATCTGTATGTTTCTACAAAATAACTTCAAAATTATACAACTTAACAACAATGTTAAAATAGATCAACAAATCTACAATTAAACTACAAAATTAAGACAAATAATTTCACATTATTTGAGTGCTTAAAAACATGGATACATATGCAATTTATATACAATATTTCTACAAAAATCTACAAATCAAAAAAACCACAGAGTTATAGATGTTTGCCAACTAAAACATGCGAAATAAGTACTGAAGAAATTAAAAAATTCTTACCTTTACCAGTGAGTGTTTTCGAACATTTTGAGGAGTTTTAACACCAGAGGCTTTTTTTGAATTTTTCTTCTTTTTGGGAGTTTTTGAACTGGGAGCCACCTTAACTTTCTTTCCAGGTTTACTGGTAGGCACATCTTCTACAAAATCATCATCTATAACTATCCCTTTTCGTTTCCTATCTGCTTGTTTGATTGGCTTCAAAGATTCTCCAACATCGAAATCATATTTTTGTTTAGTTCTAGCTTCAGCCCTGATTTGACGAGGAGAAACACTATGCTTCATATCTACAATTGCATGTGCGGATTTCCCTTGCTTTGGCGGTGAATGTGGTGATAATATACCCAAATCGAAAGAAGGTACATCAGATTCTACATCTTTTTTAGGGCTGTATTTTGAAGCTTTGTTCTCCTTCATTAAGAAATTTTGAAGCTCAAGGGGAATTAAAAGTGTGTATGAACGAAATTGAAGCTTTGACTTCAAATTTGACTAGGTTTATATAAGAAGCTTCAGCAGTGAGTTTGAACCTTTGTTTTTCTGGTTTTAGCAGAGGTAAAAATAGCTAGAATCGTGTGTGTGTGTCGTGATACGTGGGTGGGGTCGTGGGTTTAGGAGAGAGAAACGAGGGGAGATATGGAGGAATATACGGTACCTTTAATTTAGGAGTGATATAAGGTACAATTAATGTACAGTTAAAACACCTTATGGTATAGAATTGGTAATTAGGTATACTAAATGTAATTAAATCAAACCTTAAACATTGAGGATAATATAGTTTCCTATATGGTATAGGATTGTAAAAATTTCAATAAAATTTAAGTTATTGGTCCCAAATGTCGAAGCCCAATAATTGTGTTACCCTGCTTGAGGCCCGAACTAAAACTCAATAAAAGTGATGTTGTATAGCCGCTTTTAAAATAATAGCTCAAAAATATTTGTTTGGTATATATATATATATATATTCTATATATTATATACAAAAATTATACAAATTTTATATACTTTTTCGACTACCAAATATAAATAACTTTGTGGTGCGGGCTAAAAGTGAAAATAGTCCATATTAAAGAGGAGTGGATAACCATAGAGGTCAGTTTGGGTCTTGGAAAAAATCTGGGTGACTCATTATTTCGGAAATCAGCATTCTCGAATCCTTTCAACAGAAGATTGAAACTTCTACATTGAATTTTCCATCTGTAAGAAACTAATTGTGGTAGCATCAGTAGGATATTGTGTTAGTCTGTTAGATGTGCAAAAACATGTATGTAGGGCCTAGGGTTGTAGGTTTGGCACAACAATAATACACCTCAATTCTTATTTCCAAGCAAGTCGATTACATGAGTAATAATCGTTCAAGTCGTTTCATTTTAAACTATTTCTCACAAAATATAAACAGAATTTAGCTATTCAAGGTGGTGGAACAAAATATAAAATGTGTCCTTAAACATTAATTTAACTTGTACTAAAGACATGCTAGCGCTAATTCATATAGCACGATTTTTTTTATTTTTTTTTATTTTTGTGTGGTTGGAATATTAGCATTATCTGCTTGTGGCCAACAAGAAAACCTTAGCGAGTTTCCTTTCGGTACTTCACCTAACTCACCACTTCTACCTAGAAACACTAACATTCGATTAGGATACTCAAGTTTCTGTATGCTTCGCTACAAATAATTATGCGACTACCATACCTAAACCAATAAGCACAAAATCATTCTTTAATTTCTACCTCCTGAATTCATGTTTAAACTGATTTTCGATTTCCCAGCCTGCATACCATCACAGTTTTACTTGTATAACTTTTACTTTCTTTTGTGGGAAGGAACTCCATTACAAAGCACAAATTAACTAATTAACAGGTAAAAGGTAAAAACTACTAAGTAATAAACAGGTAAAGACGCATGGTAACCACTCACGTACTAGATATTAATAAAAGCTAATAATTTATTGTATACGGTTAAAATAGGACTTGTCTGATTTTGCCATTTAATCGAGACCGGAGAATCACGTCGATGGTCAGTCTCACAATGGATCAGGTCAGAGCACGATGATAAGGTATCAAACTCGATAATCGAGGTGCTCATCGAGATCGAAGCCAACAACGATCGAGACCATATATGACAGACTTCGAACGAAGCGCAATAACGAAAAGGCGAGATATCCGTAACCTGTCAAAGATCACGGCGGAAATTTCGGAACAGATCAGATCAAGGACGGTTGTTTAGGCTAATCATGAGATTTACTTATGTAATTAAAGTTATACCATAATTAGGATTCCTCTACTATATAAAGAGGAGTCCCTATCATTTGTAGACACCTTACTTTCACGAATATCAAAACAATATAACATTTTCCTAGCTTACATTCATGTTCATCAGCTTGTTATATCTTTTACTATTCTGGCATTAATCTGTTCGAGGGCATAGAGCTCGAGAGCTTAATTACGTTGCAATACCGGTTTGCTTTATTTTATTGCCAATTTCCATTGTACATCTTTACATTTATCCATTAGTTTAGATGGAATCACATATCCTTAAAACTAAATTATAAGTTTAATTATTATCCAACTTTTAGGATAAACAGTTTGGCGCCCACCGGGGACTAAGGATAACAGTGATTGCCTAGTATTAATCCTCATAACACACTGCTTTTACATTTGTTCTCGTAAGTGTCTTTGATTTCAGGAATCAACATGTCAAACTCTCAAGTAGTGCCCACTCACACAGACTCCAGCCTTGATCTTCATGGCGAGAACGAGCACATAGCCGCTCTGGAAAACTAAGTACCTCCAATCAATCCCGATGGACCATAGGCTGTAGATCCAGTCGACGTCAATTCTCGCGTTGCGATTCATGGAAATTTAGGCGCCGACCCTGAAAATAGCGTCCGTAGAGACGCCCGAGCAGCCGATCAGACCGCATAGAGTGGTGAAGAAGGCGGGATTAGCCTTTGAATGATATTTGAATTGTTGCAGACTCAGCAAACTGCGATAGTGCAGCTCTAAAATAAGAATCGAGCACCAAGTAGAATCGAACTCGATGCATCACAGGAAGTTATTCATAGGGTCGAGCCTATACCGAAAAAATTGAATGATGAC